CAACTGCATTGAAGCAGGATTTCACTCTTTTTGTCACTTCTTCAGCCACAAAATCCAAAATACAATCAGTTTTAGTGTCAAGGCCCCAAATATGTATGAGGGGTGCTAGTTGCTCAAGTCTGCCGTGAATTTCAGCTGGAGAGTTTTATAGCTGACGGATGTCAGTACTATATCTATTAGTATTTTCGTGTGTATGAGATGAACTTTTGGACTCTTTAGTTTTTGAAATTTTAGATTTAGGTCTTGGTAGAACGTACCGTGTGGTAGGCTGTGTTGATGTTTCGATACACGTGAGTATAGTGTCTTGTATGCCAACCAATCTTACCGTTGGCATACTGCACTCAGAATTGGAGGGGCAGTAACATGGAGAATCAGGTGATGATAGTGACATTTGTGTGCAGTACGCATATCGTTCATTTGTTAAAGGTTCGACATTGTCAGATACTGTGTTGTCAGTCATATGGGTTACAGATTTGGGCCTTTTATTTGGCTTAGAATTTGATGAAATTTCACTTTTACTGGAGTTATTGGCCATGATTTGAAACTGTGTGAGTACAGAGCTCGTTAAATCAAATATAATATCTGAGTATTAGTAGTTGTTAAGTATTAACCTGGTTAATACAAGGATCAGAGAACATGAGTATATAATAAATTGTACATCTATTTTAGACTTAAGTCCGCAATAGAAATAATATGAACTGGTAAGTATCCGTCAACATTTTTTTCGATTTTAAGCTAAAATGCACCCGATATACATAATAGGATGTTAGTCTCTGTATTATACACCCTACAGATGAACAAGTTGAAGAATTTTAGGACCACGTGAAAAACAGTTACCACTTTCAATGCTGAGCAGTGTTTGGTCGTTTTTCCTTACGAAAAGATGCCATGTGGTAGAATATAGTAATAAATAAAAATGGGCTCCAATAGCGTCGACAAAAAGGGAAGACGGCCATTTGTGTATCATAATACTGTTTTTATCACTATATTCATAAAATAATCCCATACTTTTGTGGTGTGCGATACTTATGTGGACATAAGTAGTATATGACGTGAGTCGTGAACAGAATGTCTGGCAGCAGAGAGACGAGAAGATCGAACAATAAAAATGAAGACGGAACGCAATTTGTATGAAAATGCACTTACAAAGGAAGTCTCAGTCTTTTGAGACAATTGATGGACATTTTGCAAATTGAGCATTTACCATATGGTTGTTAGATTTTACTAACTAGTTCTGTGATTTGTTGTCAAATACATTCGATTGTCCCTATTTGTGTTCGTGTTCACTACACTTTCAGCTCCTTTCTGAAGCACCTCCGTTTGTCAGTTCTTTATCCACTCATACCTTGTTCACACTTATTTTCGTTAATCTATCAAGACGTTCTTGCCTAGTAAATACTTTAATAAAAGAGAATCTGATTGAGAAGTCATGCCTTAACTATTTCTCCATGAACAGTGTCTGCTATGCTTCTCGTCCTTTAGTTTGTTGCACTCTTTTTCACCTCCTTTGAGATATGCCACTGAAAACAGATATGCAACGGGTGACTTCGTCCTGCACCATCATCAAAGACACAGATATTGCAAAGCGATATAAGTTTGCGATTTCTAGAAGCTCCAATCAGTTGCACGTCACAACGCAGGTTTCATAAAGCGCACCAACTGTGATACTGACTAAAAACCATTCTACATTCACATCTTATAAATTATCAACCCAGCTGAGTAATTCACTACAGTGGAAACTGTATCATATGTAACAATTTCATCTTGTCTGTAAACTACTGTGCCTCATGTAACAAACTGTTATTTGAGAATAAATTATTATTACTATTAGTAGCGTAAGAGCGACTTTCAAAGAATAATTTTTGGAGGATTTTATGAAGAGAAGATTAAACATTCGCAAATTAGCGAGCATATTTGCAGAAATATTGTTTTTTTGGAATAAAAATGTGCATGTTAAAACTTTTTATTATGTATAAAACAAAGAAAAATCAAGACTAAAGAGAATGTTAATTATTGTCTTACTTTTAGTTATCGTTTAAATATTCTGAAAACCTCACTCTTCTTCCAGAATGCGTTGTTTTGAGTCTGTTTTTAGATACTGCGAAGTGCTATTGTGAGTGTTGGCTGTCGGATGAGATATCGTAAATGTAGAAGTTGTGTCTTTCGATTGTACCGAAGGAAAATCGACCTGGATAAGGTTTCCTTCTCAATACTCAGCTTTGATGCGATCCATGCTGAAGCTAACTTTAGTTGCGTTCTTATCGTTTATATAATACTTGGGTTCACGCCGAAGAATTCTGAATGGTCATTCATATGTTAATTCATGAGTTCGTCGATGTGAGTTGCGGCGTATGAATATGTGTGTACTGTATCGTAAGTCAGGTTGAGTGAAATCATCAGTTGACTGCGGTCGAATGGAAGCAGGTTTAACTGAACGCGCTGTGTTCGTAAGCCTGCTCGTGTATGAGTTTAAATCCAACCTCGGCTTTTCCTGAGCCAAACGGCGCGTTTTCCAGAATACAGGTGGCCCTGTAGTCGTGATGTTATGTTTAACATTTCTGGTTGCACACGTAATTTCGGTTGCGTTTGGTATATCTCAGAGTAGTTATCAAGCAATTGTTGGTTTAATGGATCTATAATAGGCTTAACTGTGACTGAAGATAATCTACAACCTGAAAAAGAATTTACACAAATAGAAAAATTAGTGTTTCCATCTACCAACCTTCATTTGCGCGTGTCCATGAGTAAATTATGATGTTGTAGCAGGTCCTTACGAATAATTGGCATAGTAACATCAGCAACAATGAGAATTCAGTGAATGGGTTCACGTAAACCCACGTTCAGATAGACGTTCCTTCTACTATATATGACGATAGGTTTTCTGTTTGCCACTTCTAAGTTTAAAACCGGTTGGTGCAGATAGCGAACTTTCGTCATCACATCAGTGACACATTACAGACGACTGTGTTCGTTGGCTACGGTTGTCGTTAACGCGTTGATGCTGGGAAGTTTCCCGAAACGTTTTTCGTGTCGGTCAGTTTGGAGTTTCGAAAACTGCAGGGTTTCCTGCTATTTCTAGAAGAATTTTCGTATGGGCTATGACACCAGCACCAGTTGGGTTCACATGTATCACGCGGTTTAGCGACAGATCGCTTACGTGAAATACTTCTTCTTGGTTTTGTGACCGTTTACGGTCATTACGGAACCAAAGGTAACGTGTCAGCGTATGACGTAGTTCCGTAATATCGCAAGATGTTTTTCTTTGACTGCGAAAATATCTTCGTTAGAAGATATTGTGATATCTGAAACGTGGTCGGCAGATGCAGCCAACTCGTCTACGGCGTTGTTTTGAAACGAGAAAAGCACAGCTTGCACCTGTTCATGAAGTTACGACAAGAAAATTTATTTAAATGGGCCATCATCGTAAGTTCTTTGGCTAATCACCTCTCATTCTTAACAACATGTCTGTCGCTGAAGCATGTTGTAGATCGATACTATTGGGGATTTGATCTAACATTTGTCTCCGCGTTTAGGAATAGATCACTTAAGAGTTTCGTCAGGTTCCGGAACATCATTAGCAAACATGGTAGGTGTGACTTCCCGTGGTATTGCCTTTACTACTGCGAGAAATTGTGAACGTGTGTCCTCCACACCATTCTCGTCGAAGTCGGCCTCTGTGTAGTAGAACCAGGCTTCGATGTTGTCTGGCCAAAAGTGCACTAGTTGAAATGAAGATGGAGTAATAAACCTCAACTTATTGTCTATTCCATCATGGCAAATATGGAAAACAGGAATGAACGAGGAAAAAATGTTCAAAAACCCAAGAAAGATATCACACTACATGAAAGGTTAAATAAAAGAATGAGAAAGGAATGAAATTCAAATACGGAACAGACTCATAGTTTGCAACTTGGTGTAGCAGATCACTTCAGGTGACCAAGGAAGATGCTACTGGTATTTGAAGTTTTACAAGGTTTTGACCAACAACATTTTGTACTATAAATCGTGCCCACCTAGTGGAATTATAGGTGAGAAGCGAGGAGGTTCGAAGATATATTTGATAAGCCGTGAATATATCGAGAATTGACTGATCTAAACTGGCTAATCATTGCAAGGGAAGTTGAGCACCCTCCACCTAATCTTTAACAGTTTTATTCGTCCCCATTTAGAGTACGAAAACAGTAGTTATTCCGCTATTTCAAAAGAATGGTTCAAATGGTTCAAGTGGTTGTGGACGGAATAGAATATGCTTTCGCTTAACAGGCTACCGTATCTAGTAGCATGGGATCACCAATACCTCCAGGCAAGAACCCACTTATGGCACTTTAGAGCGTATCCAATGGCGAGTCACCAAATTAGTTCGGGGACTGAAATTCGAGTCTTATGAAGAGCGCCTCCAATCAGTGAAACTTCACTGATTAAAATACGGGTGTCCTAGAAGTGACCTTCTACTGTTTTGCAACATCCCTAGCACTTCCCCTTGGTCACCTTCTGAGGCTTAGTCATATCACAAAACATAGGGGTAACACCCAGAAATTGGAGATACGACACAGCTGAACGGACTGGAGACACATATTCTACTCCTTCAGAGTAGTCAAATGTTGGAATTCGCTTCTGGCTGAGCTTGTCCAAGAGACCAACCATTTGAGATACGCACCAACAGAACAACTTCAAATAGTAGAAGTCGAAGTAGAAAAGCGCATGAATGTCACTTGAAAAACCAAAATAGAGCAAAAAGTGTAAAGTGTGAGCTTAGATCGATCTTCTGGTACAATAAACGTAGCCGAAATCTAGCACGTCACAAGCACGACTTCAAATCGCATGCCAAATTTTATTGATAAGTCAGCATTTCATCTGATTATTTCTCGAAGTCTTCTGTTTTGTATTTGTTTTTGTATGTCCATGTGTATACTACAAAACATCGGCAGTCTATTTTAAGTTTCAGGATTGTTTATCTTGTTCACCTGAGTTCACTTGCGACCTAACAGCTAGTTTCGCAAATGATTTGGGATTGTTTATTGTCAGTAGTTTTTGGACTAATACTTAGGAATTTGGTCAAGACATATGCATCGAAAAACTTTCTGGATAGCCTAACATATTCATCATTAGATCAGTGGGACTCTGGTATGTTCAGAATAAAGTATTTAATTGGGCCAGTTAATGAAGGGATTTATTTACAAAAGCTTGGGATTTCTGCCTATGATGGTGATGTAGTACATCAGGTTAGAATAGATTAAAATGAAATTTGGATAGATAGCCTCCTTTGTCGTTATTAATGTGGTCTTACTTATTGAAGCTGACGGATGGAGATGGAACTTCTTATCATTTGGTTTGTAGTTAAGTTGATAATTTACTGTTTTAGGCTCTTGAATTCATCTTGCTGATTTCCTTGTTCATGTTTTGCGGAACAGCGTTTAATTATTTTCTCTCGACTCAACATAGCGACAAGTCTTTTGTACATGATTCATCGAAGCACCTCTTATTGAAAGAAATAGATTTTCGAAAGCTTCAGGCACTTTCGGTGATATGGTGAGCGTGCTTGACCTTAATACATATCAAAACCTATGGGAACATTGGTGTATTATGATTTTTAGCGTTAAGGGTTTCTTCCATGTTATTTCGTATCATTGTCATTGTGAGTTACTCATTTCTTACGTTGTGATCAATTGTCGGTAAAACGATATTTATCATTTATACCAGCTTGGCTTTCAATACAGGCCAAAAGTTTCGTCGTTCGTAAAGCAAATCTAGCATGAACCACATTAAACTGGTCAGTGTATTTTAATTCAAATCAATTTAGTTTTTGGTTTTTATTTATAGTTTCACTAGCAGTCAGTCAGTTACAACATAGGACCAGACACATACATGCATCGATCCAAGTTTCCACACCTAATTTTCACAGGAAGATGGACACCGGATTCACAGGAGTGGTTAAGTCATCGGTGATAATATATATAAGAAAGATTGCATATAAGGACAGTACAGGAAGAAAGAATTAGTTCATAGAAAGAAAGATATCTTTCTTTCTAATTGAAATTATTTCACATATGTGAAATAATTTTATTCTCATAGCTTGAGGGAAGATAGTGATCGATTCTGAGTCATGTCACCAAGAGTCTCCAACCATTGATTACGATAGTCACGCGGACCCCAACCAAGTAGTCTGCATCTACCAACATGGCTCAAACCGGAAGTTAGTCACCTTACAGACTGGTACCATGTTTTGATTTGGCCGCCCCTAACCTTCCAGCCATCCCCAACACCGGTTAGCATTGCACGTCGTGGTAATCGGTGGTTGGCCATGCGCGGCACGTGACCTAACCATCTCAGTCGATGAAGATCCACAACCTCATCAACTGATTTATCATCATTCACTAATACCACACGTTTAACCTCACTGTTACCTACCCGATGATCCCAACAGAGGCAAGTAATATTTCTAAGGCATCTGTGGTCACTAACAGCAGTGTTGGTGATCTAGTATGCCATCAGTAAAAAGTAAATAAGGCTGCTTCGTCGATCTCCATAGTGTAATGTAAAAACTGGATTGGAAAGTCTTGACGTAGAATGGGAAATTTGAGCGCATTGTTGTTAGCGATGTCATGAAAAACTGCACGATATCAAGAGGCTGTAAGTAAACTTTGGGTACTTGATATTTATAAGCAAGTCCTTGTCTAAAGCTGTGAAGGTATCAGTCCTCATTTTCAAGGAGTTTTGCAAAAGTAGTCAGTACGTGGTTTGCTGCTTCCTTGTTGTTCTTCATTACATGGATATATTGAAGTTAGACATTAACACTGTTGGATGCCGGCTCATTAGTCTAGAGGTTAGGCCCTCGTGCGTGAGAGTGAAGGCCCTGAGTTTGAGTCCCTTTGCTTCGAGATCGTGAGTGCGCATTGCTCAAGAGTCCCATTCTGGGACGAGGAAGTCCTCCTGTGCTTCCAGGTTTTCAATAGTGGTCTAGCTTAAAACGACTTCAGTTTGTGTGCTGCCATATCCCAATCAAGTTGTGTTGTTTAAAACGCACGTCCCTTTAAATCCTACTGTGCTAGGAAGATTGGTTAGTAGATAGACGTTATATACCATCGAACGTTCCCTTGATTAGGTTAACGGGAAACACTTATGTTCTATTTTATACTTCACTCAGAGGCAATATCATATTTAAGTTTTTAAATTTGACTTTTGTTGAACTTATTATTCCTCATAGGTACGCGCTTAATCCTTACTCAATACTGATTTCAGCTGCTCAGTCGACAGCTGTTGTGTACAATATTGTCTTTTTATGGATCAATCTATGTTTGTGTAGAGGTTAGTTTCATTCTGTTGAAAGTGCTTTTACGTAGTGACAGGTTTATTATGGTTTCTTGTATTGTATGCTATAGTTTTGTGTAGATACGAGTACTCAATATGCATATTTTTTTTTTCCACGTGTTACCCTGAATGGAAAGTGACGTTAGTTATAAACCTTACTAATATACATCCAGTGAACATCCTTCAAAGAAACCCATCCTTACCATTAATTCATGTTACAGTTTTAGTTAGACATTTGCAGTTGTGTGAATCAGTTGTTAGGTTTTATATCTGTGGATATGGTGAGAAATTTTCGTGCAAAACTAGTGCCACGAAGTCTTTCGATTGACAACGTTAAATTTCACCTCTTAGGTCGAATAAGTTACCTATTTGTATGCACATGTCATTTGTTGGGAAAATCAACTAACCAGTTTTGTAAGTGGACACTAAGTAGTCAGTACTTAATGACACCTGTTTGAGTATTGTGAGCATCGTTATTTGACAAGGAAGGTTTTAATGACAGAATTGCTCGCATTCACTTAAACATGTTTCATGTGATACTTCATTAATATCGATTCTTACTATTATTTGCTTACCCTAGTATTAATAGGAAGTGTTGTAGAATAAACCACAATCTGTTCAGCCTAGTATCTATTTTTTACAATCATAACTTTCTGATTGTCAGTCTTGAGATCATACGGTCCAAGGATATACGAGATTGATAGATGCTGCTTTATATCGAAAGCAGTGATCAGTTTAACCAGTGGTTGTCACAAATCATTTATAGTGTGTTTAATAAGTTGCCTGCTATGTTTTCGTTAGTTCACTAAGATCCGCTTTGGTTTATGTGGCGTATATTTGTTTGTTGCCTTTTTGTACCAGGCAGTGACTCGAGAACGTTTAGTTAGACCCGAATTTCCACCATAGGCGAGCTGCTGTATAAGTCGAAAAAAGAGGATACATAAATTGGGAATAAAAGAGAATGAATAAATGACGTAGTAAACAATAAGAATAATGCGAGTCATTTGATTGTTAGTCGGAGAGAAAAGAACACTTTCCATAGGTAGACAGTTGATCATATTTTTGTGTGTGGGTTGAGATAGTGCCCGGGTGCCCAGACCGAAACAGGTGGTTTCCTTAGGGGGCCACGCTCCGAGCCTTTGACCTAAAGGTATAACCCACAAGGCAGTGGAGCATCGTGAGAAGATGCAGTCCCATGGAGGCCGGTGACCAAAAAATTGGTTCATACGCCATTTATTCCCACAGGATACTGGAGTCCATGTGCACCATTGGTTTGGGATCCGGTTATAGTGTTGGACATTCGCTATTCGTCCTCTCATTTTCATAAACAACACCCCCGCCACGAGAAGGCAGTGAGTAGGACTTTCCTGGCAGAGGCTGTATACGCGTGGCCGTGTGAGAGTATTTCGAGAGGAGGGCGAACACACCCCACTCTTGGCCATACCAGGGCATTTGGGCGCGTGAAATCTGTAATCAGTTCAGTCTCATAGAAGCTCCTAATGATGATGACGATGATGTCAGATACGCCATGATATTGTAGAAGGTTTCATAAAGTTCTACTTTCAACTCTATCAAATGATTTTACATAATCAAGGGAGTTGACTTAGTGATGAGTTGGATTCATTTAATTGTCTTTTTAAACTTGTGTTGATTTAATGTGGGTTATTTATTTACTCTGGAGAAGTGGTTTATATTAACTCACGAAACATCAGAAATACAATTTTTCTACTCATTGAGATATAGCGAAAATGTATACTTACTGCTCAATTTATTTGAAACTATCAAGTTGAACCTTGGTACTAATGCCAACAATGATCTTTAGTGTCGCGGTTTTGTCGGTATATGACCGATCCTTTCAGAAGCCGACATATTTATCTCGAATTTGGGCGTTCACTTTCCCTTAAACTGATAGTAGTGTGTTGCCTCTGTAGTTCTCACTGTTGCTGAGATCGTTCCTTGTTACTTTGATGAGGTATCCTTCTTTTCCGAAAAAAATAGGAACAACAAATGAAATGACTTGAATTATCCTTATCTCAACATTCAGAGCTATAAATAGTGATTGCAACTTTCATTATCATACGACCAGATCCCCTGAAAAATTTAAACAGAGCAATAAAAACAAGGTCATTGTTACCTGCCAGACACATCCATGTACTTGGTCTTTGAGCGACACATTCTAAGTGTGAGGGCAAGTGGTAATACCTGATTGTCCAAACTGAAGTAGTAAAGCCGTATTTCAACCTGAAAGTAAGCGACTGAAAATCAAACACTCTAACCAGTGTACTACCTCTTCGTGATTGCAACTGTGGCTTGTTCAGCTAACTCCAGGTTGTCACTCAATATTCGCAATCATAAAACACGATTATAGACGTGAGCACCAACCACACAAGTTTACACTTAATGATATGGCTCAAAGGAGCTTCTGGCGAGTTGATGGATAGATGACATATTTTTATTTGGTCATTATCAGTTAATAACTAACAATTAGCGAATATTTTTTTGTAAACTTTTGTTTAGGTCATCTGTTATTGGCTGCTGCTCTTTGCGCTGTTGGATGTTACATTCGTATATATCCAGGATATTTAATGTTTCCAGTTTTAGCTGCTGCTTACAATGTAAGATATTCATTCATCTGATTGTTTTGTTTAAAAAACAATGATTTCCAAATCCTTTGATCTGTGATAATAGTTATGTAAGGTTTCAGATTGAAACTTTCATCAAACCGACTAAATTTCTATTATTACCAATAAGAAAGAAACTATGTACATTTCTGTGTAGTTTAGTCGAAGTTTTTATCCGATTGCCTAGTTTTGTCTTGTGTATTTCAACCTCACTTGAAACAATCCTTCACCACGTTTTCAAAGTGAAATAGATAAATCAAGGCTATCAATGTCATTCAACACGGGCCTTTCGTCCTGTTTTGAAATCTTCAGCTTGATGTACCTGAATCGTGTTTATGTTCACATAGGAATACGAAGCCAGTATCTTTCTTTCGAAACGCTAATAAGTTATCCACTAACCGATTGATGTTAGCTAGCCACGAATTTGTTTTTCGAGAGATTGGGGCTTACACTTGTAAAGATTTGAACTCTAGAGATAAAATGCTACACCCCAGTGACATATTGAATTGTTAATTGGTCAGAGGTAGTGAACAGAGAACAAGTTAGTTGCGAACCGAAAAGCTAAAAGGTTATGCCTCATTCTAAAGGCTGTCAACTAGGGTTTCGAATCGACTAGAAGGCATCAGTTCTCTCAAGATCACAGGTATGCCAAGTGCTGAACTAGTGCAAACCTTTGGCTTTACTGAACTTCCTGTCGAGTACTTATAACCATCTAACGTTTAAACACAGTGCACACAAAGTCGAATCACTTAAACAGGTGGTCACATTGCACCTCGATTAGCATTAATGATTAAACAAACATTATTCATTTTAAATTCCATTTTTTATTTACTGTAACTATGACCACTGTCAGTCAGTCAGTAACAACGTAGAACTTCGTGCGTACGTACATCATTTCGAGTTGCTATAACACATTAACACAGATTTGTAGTTGTCGACTGTAATCCCGTAGTTGTAGAGGTAGGGAACGTGTAAGCAGTAATCGGAAAGATTAGGGTTTGAAGATGTTATTCAAGGAGTACAATACAGTGAAATAAATTTGGAAAGAGAAAAAAGAAATTGACGTGAAGAATTCAGAAGATTAGAATTAGGGAGAACACAAAGAGTGGATGCACCTGCGTCGTTGCAAACGATTTTGAGCCATATCATTCAAGGTCTCTAACCATGGTTTACTATCGTCTCGCGGATCCCAGCCAGGTTGTCTACCCCTACCGACATGGCTCAGTTCACTTGTCAGTGACTTCATTTATTTGTTCCACGTAGGACGGAACGAACTGCTGCGCACTAAACCCGTCCTTTGGTTGGTAGTCGGATATCTCGCGCACGCCATAAATGACGCAAGTTGGCAAAAGCTAGTCGAGCCTTTTGCATTCGTGCTGAGATTTCGTTACACACCAGACCACAAGGGCTGATGAGACTCCCAAGATAAGCGAAAGCGGTCAGCGTCTTCGCCAAACCAAAACGTGGCATCAGTGCTTGAAGTCACTAACTTCTGGTCTGAGCCACGTTGGTAGATTCAGACTGCCTGGTTGGGGTCCGCGTGACTATCGTAACCAATGGTTGGAGACTCTTGGTGACATGGCTCAGAATCGATCACAATGGCGTCGGTGTATACACTCTCTGTCTTCCTTTAAACTAAGAAATTAAAATCACTTCAAATCTTTCTTTCTAGGAACTAATTCTTTCTTCCTGTACTATCTCCTTATACACACTCTTTCTTCTATATATTACCACCACTGAATTAACTACTTCTATGAATCCGGTGTTCATCTTGTTGTGCTAATGCGGTATGGCAACTTGGACCGATGCATATACATGCCTGGTCCTACGTTACAGCTGACTGACTGACTAAACAAGAGTGGAGAGAGTAAACAGCCTTGACGGACACCACCTGAGGTAATCAATTCTGATGGCAGTTCGCCATAAGCTCTCACTCTACCAGTTGTGTTCGAGTAGAGAGCCCCTATAAGGTTAATGCGTTTCTTCGGTACTGCTTTCAGTGACAAACACTGCCACAGAACCTCACGATCAACAGAGTCAATTGTGGAGTTGGAGGACTTACATAAACTTGCCATTCAGGTCGTCTGGAGGTCGTTGGAAACCGAAATGTGGCTGAAAGCCAGTTAAACTAAAGTGTTCTGCCCATCGATCCAATCTCCTGGATTAAGAATGAATAATATGACCATCTTTTCCCGACATAGTTTCGTCAACAGTTGGGTTCCTAATACCGGTTGCCTGAACAAGTCTGAACAGTTTTCTGCTGTCACCTATTACCGCTACCTTATCCATCTCTCTTCCTTTCGCTATCCACCACTGTTCGCGATCATTGCGTAGGCTTCTTATCAGCCTGCGCTTAAGCTGACTCCGCTCTTCGTTATGTTCAGGGCCGAATGGGATGAGTTTTCGAGCATCTATCAGTGCGGTAGATGTTGTTGAGATCCAGTGTTTCTCCCTAACCTTATGGTTTACCGTACCAGCAGCTATCACTGCTGTTTCCACAGCTTTTCGGATATCATTCTATGCTGCACCGGGGTGAGCATCATTTACATGGCTGCCTATCTGCTTTTCTAGTTGTTCGTGAAATATATTCTTAGCTTGATTATCATTAAGTAGAACCCTGAGAGCTTTCCTTGCAGCGTCTTTCCTACGTCCAGTAAGATGCAGACAAATACGCGTTCACACTAGAGCATGATCTGAATCTAAGCATGTGCTGCAGAATGGGAGACAGTCTTCTATTGAGCCCCTCCATCGGTGGCTGGTAGCGATGTGATCTATTCGGGTCCAACGTTGGGACAAATTCTAGGGTTTATCATTTATTTATTTATTTGAACACATAAATATTGGTACAAGAGGGCACCAAATGTATATGCGCCACACAAAACGATAAGAATTTGCAGAGAAGAAAAGAAAGGTAAGAAGCGTAAAAAAAGAACATTAATGAACAGATTAGTATAAGGTAGTAATATATAATAGTAATAATAATAGTAATGGGGGAAACAGAAAGGTACAATCAGAAGAAATCTTTCAGTTAAGGATGAAGCAACCACTATTTATGAAGAAAGTCAAAGAAGGTTACAGCAGGGTCGCCACTGGCTTCTATTCTGAGCCATATCTGATAACGTCTCTAGCTACTGTGTTGCACCATCTCTAGGACCCCAGCCAGGAAGTCGTGAAGGACCAACACAACCCAGCCCTTTGCAGCCTTGTTTCATACCACGACACCATGTCATACACTGACCACCTCTTTGCTTTTTCCAACCAGTCCCAACGTAGGCGAATAGTGCACGATGTGGAATTCTCTGGGACGACATTCGTAGAACATGTTCAAGCCACGGAAGTCGATGTTTCAAGATGATGGCATCAATTGGATTGTCGTCTCTGTGCCCGAACACACGATGCCGAACCTCTGCATTACTGACATGGTGTTGCCACTGGATGTCAGCAATCCTTCGGAGATAACGATGGTCGAACACAGAGTCGTTTAATATCATCAATTCGGAGAGGCCAGGTTTCACAATTATAGAGCAGAAGTGCTCTCATCGATGCGTTGTAGATCCGACCTTTTACAGTCAGACTGAAATCACGAAGGCGCCAAAGATGGCCCAGATTGGCATAAGCCGCTCTGGCTTTCACTGTACGTGCATTGGTCTCATCACTCACGCCACCACCAGCACTTATGCAGCTACGGATATGAGGTCTGATATCACTTCCAGGCTGCCCACACGGTGGAAAGCTATTTCTTGAGAGACCTGAAAAGCAGGATGGATTAATGTTGGTCTTAACGACCTTGGTGCGTGACCGCAGGGCCCAAGGGACTACTGCTTGAGGCCGGTCGTTCACGGCCTTTTTGTGGGAAGTTTCTGATGTGTTAGCTCCGTCCTTTATGGGGCCTTCCCGGCGGAGACGGAAATCCGTGATGTAAGGTGAAGTGTGACATTTTTAAGAGTCGACCTTTTCTGACCCCTTCCTTCCTTGTGAGAAGGTAGCATTGCTGCAGTTGCTGGTTGTCCGTGGAAAACACCTTACTGCCGACCACCACGTCATGGTAGCAGATACGGTCGGGAACTATGACAACAATTCAAAGACACATACTTAGTCAATGCGCATTTGACTGAACTATGGATTCATGTAGACGGCATTTCCATCAGCAACCTCGTATTCTGGAGCACGTGTTGAAACTCGGACGATGCTCTAGTGAGAGCACGTGTCTGTCTGCGTTTTACTGGACATAGGAAATCCATAGCAAGAAAACCCCTTAGAGTTCAACCTAATGATGAATAAGTCGAGAACAAATTTCAGGAACAACTGATGGATTTGGTCAACGATGAAAGTAATATCCACCATGGGGCAGGTTGCGATAGTGTCCAAACAGTTGTAATGTCTACCAATGACTTAAACAAAATGGTTAATAAAACTCAGTGAATGTCAGTGGCGTCTATGGAACTGATAAGCCCTCGGAAACTCATCGTGTCTGTCTCCGTAAAGGATGAGGTGCGTTGTTAGCTTAAAAGTACGCCGATAAAAAGCCTACGCAATGATCGTAAGTAGTGATGGATTGCGAAAGCTAAAGAGGCGGAAAAGCGGCGGCGATGGGTAACAGTAGATAACTGTTCAGACCTATCATAGAAACAAGTATTAAAAACCCGACTGTTAGTGAAACCATCTTGGAAAACAATGGGATTGTCACTCATTCTCAACTCGAGAGATTGGATCATTAGGGAGAATAGTTTTGTGAAAAATTCAACCGGTCTTCAACCACACTTTAGTTACCCACTATCTTCAAGCAACCTGAATAGGAAATCGCTAGAAGCTGAAATCCTCAATGTTTTTGTTTCACTGATTTTCTTGAATCGTATCTTCGATTCCTAATATTTTCTATTACCACCGATACTGTTATTACATCTACTATTGTGGATTTTAAACTGACAATTTCATCTTTGTGTGCTAATTAGGTATGGTAACTGGAATCGATGTACACATGTGCTGAGTTCTACGTTGTGTGTTGTCTAACTGTGATAGATCTTGTAAGTATAATTGTTTTGAGTAAACTCGACAGTTTAATTGCTGAGAATTAGTATGATATTGCAAAATTGCTTATGATATTCGTAGTTAATTTTCTCATGTCTTATTGTTTCCATCTTACCAGTTTATTCTTGTCCATCATTAGACCAAGCTTTTTCACTACGCATTCCATACATATATTGCTTGATGTTGAATGTATGAAATAAGTACGAATATCGATAATTAAAGTGAAAAGAATCCTGTTTCTAACTATTAGTTAGCTAATTCCACAATTTTACAAATATTTTGCCTTATTGCATTTTACGAACGTTTATATTTTATGTAGTTAAATTCGCATGTTTCATAGGAAACACCAGTGGGGTAAGGTGAGATTTGGCATGCTTTGATTCGATATTTTGTAGCCCCTTTGTAATATGAGAGCATCGCTGTAAATGCTAGTTGCTCAAGTAGAACGCCTTTCTACTATCCCACCACGGTACAGTCAGTAGTGTGACTTCTCTGTCGGACATTAAGTTGCTGCTTTTAGCCTTAGTGTTCTCGGCTTATAAGTTGAACTGTTAAAATAATTAGTTTTTCCAATTTTAACTTGGTATTGTTATGTCCTCTGACCCGTGAGAAAATGCGTGATAAAATCGCTAATCAGATTACCTACTTCTATGACTGTGAGTGTGGTATGCTGTAACTACCGATGTGAAAATAAGTTAAGAATGGTAAATCGTATTGCAGTAGCTAATAAGTTGAATGAAAGCATATATATATATATATATATATATATATATATATATATATATATATATATATATATATATATATATATATATAATCCAGTAGTTACTCAATGGTTATCCTTTAGGATTATGTGTAATAATAGTCCATAAATAATTCGTAGCAGTTCTCACTCATTTTATTCCTCATTCGGATATAACAGTTATTTCATAGTTTTGATTACTCTCCTTTTAGGAAATTAAATTGATCTATTCATCAATATGGCAGAATTGCATTGTTTACTTGATAGTAACCTTGTTATTCGTCGATAAGTAATTCGGCAGTATTTTAAAATTCTATATAAACCTTTATTGTTGGTCGATTCCCTTATGCAATGGTAAACCTCTTCTATACATTTCACTTTTTCTTTGTATGTATATATATATCTCGTTTATTGTTAACAGGAGTTTCCTAATAAATCGAAAGGAATAATATCTCATTTACTTAATCTTCTCCCACTATTGGTTACTTTCATTGGAAGTTATTCAATTTTATTATGGATTAGTTCGATTGTACAAAATCATGATTGGAGTTTTTTAACATCAATTTATTGGAATACGTAAGTATTAAATTCTGTATAATTTCATCTGTTTATTTACAAAATAAAAATATTGGGATAATTTCAAGAAGATTGTTTTCTTGTTTGAATAGATTATGTATTGTAATGTTGCTAAACTTCTGTAAATGGAATATGATCGTCAATTTTTATTGATTTATATCTCTGTTGAGGGGATATATTTCTACTGCACAAGGTTTTTGTATATAGTTTGTTTGAGGGATACTGTGTTGATATTTGAGATGAAATGCATTTTGTTTGAAAATTGGGCTGTGACCGTTATTACTTAAATGTAGGTACATTTGGCTGATGAGTTCTAAGTACGACAAGTGCACATACTAATTTCAATGCCATCAACAACTCGAAATTATTTGCTATATAATCTGTTGAGAGACCTCGACAATTCTCTGATAAACCAGACGAAGAATAGGAATATTTCAACCAGTCAGTATTCTATGAAAACTTCGTAGGGAGTTTTAGAAAACGATTTGTATAATTTAATTGAACAATTATCTATCTTCTTGTTAATTTTATTGTGTCCTGTAGCTGCTAGGATATCAAGGACACATATCAGCTTGTGAATATCCTTGTTTTCCGTGACTCAAACTATCATTTGGTGTTAAGCTTCTTTTTATACTTCCGGTCTCTATGTTCTATTCAGGGCTCGGGTCTAGGAATTTTATGTGGTTGGTAAGCAGTTAGAAAATTGTTGGTAAGCATCTTATTACCAGACATATCATAAACCAGCTAAATGTTCCGTTTTCAACTTCTTTATACGTAATTCAGTAATCAAGTGCTGACTTTTGGATGCTCTTTATCCTACATTGAATGTTAGTAATTCTATAGTAAACGAAAACTCAGATTTAGACAATCAATTGATTGTTTAGGACCAAATTACAGAGTTCTTTCGTAAAATGTGAAAACCGTACATTAAACACTTCAATTTCAAATCTTCTATCAATTGTTGTTTACATCCTTCATGATTCTTCCAAATCTCTATTCCTTTATATTCAACTCACTGTTTTCTTCGGTTCAATCTGCTCAACCTTTTTTTGACAGACATTCAACTTCCGATCGGTGTTACATACTACTTATTTCTGTTGACTTAAGTCGCACTGATATGATGCAATGAAAGTTTGAAATTAAATTGTTCTACTCATCATGATTTTTGTTCAACATTACTTCCGCTTAGATTCAATGTGATAATTAATCAGTGTAGTATTTGTTTTGTTTTCTCGTATGATACTTTATTCTGTTTAACACACGATATTGTTGTATTAAATAAAAATGAACTAGACTTAGCATGACATGCAGCATACTATTTGTTATAACTCTCAGTACTTTCCATGTAGGTGATTTCATCCTAATTGATAACCAAATGGGTTTACAATCAATATATATTTATTGAGTATATTTTCGACCAGGATTGTGGTCGTGTTTTGGTGGTAATAAATCCTAACTCGTATCAGTCTTAGTGTTCTTACTTTGTGTCGTGAGAATTGCAGTGACTCCTCGTTTTACAAGTAGAGTAATAGGCGATTCCGACATAACAATTGGCGATGCAGTCAACAGTCGACCACCAGTCATAACTAGCACTCACCACAGTACTACCAGGTTACCCAATGCGAATTAGATGACCCAAGGTTCAAAGCTGTAGTCTAGTGGCTGATAGTTACGCACTTTGACCATCAAGCCAACGCTCATTAAAACTAGGTGATGCTCCCACTCTTTTATATACACGAGTACACATAAAATTATCTTACAACGATCATTACTTGTGTTCTGATTGATGATTCAAGATCAAGGAACTATAGGTATCTCGACCGTAGCTGCTAACTTCACGTGGTGGTCGTACTTGCATGTCATGATGATTCAACCGAGTTGTGTTAGCTACTTGTTAAATCATGTTACTAATAATGTAAATTCATTATTCGCTCGTATTCCACTTTCTTTGTAGTATCATTGTAGCTGATTGTACACCTCAAATGGGTATCTTTTGGTACATGTTTGTTGAAATGTTTGATCATTTCAGTGTGTTTTTCACATGGGTTTTCCAACTACTCATTTTCAGTATAGTAGTTGGCTTGACAATTAAATTCAAGTAGGTGAATATATTTTGTTTTGAAATAACAATAATAATAGTAATGAATCTGTAATATCTTTTTGTTATAATTTTATAAAAGAGTTTTCTTATTTCGACGCATAATTCAACCGGTGATTTCTTATTAGTAAATAAAACTTGGTTGTATTGACACCCAAGTTATGATGAACGTGGTTTCGTTAAATGTTTGAATAATTACTTGTTATGTATTATGTAATTTTTTGAATTTTATTTTATCTTTTTCGAATCGTTCGTGTACAAATAACGTTTTCGTATTTAGGCATTAAAACAAAATAGTTGTCTCGCTATCCAACTTCCTCTTGTTATTAGTATATTAGAGCATTTGTGGAGATCGTCGTACATCACAGATTGATTTTAGCTAGACAAATGTTAAAACTATATACCACTAGAAAGCTGCTTTCTTTCCAGTTTGTGATTCCTCAGTAATGGGCGTCTACAACGTCTCAGGGATTGAACCCAAGATCATCAGGTCTTGTTCTGAGCGCTTGACCTTGAAACCACTGACTTACCATCTGAAGGTTTGCCTTTGTATTGGCTATTTCTTGAGTAAAAGATAAACATTAATACAAAGGAGCACCGAAATATATATATATGCTATATAAAGTAGTTATTGTTCAATTTGTGTGTGGCCTGAACAAACTGCAACAGATGGTTTCCTTCTGGGATCACTCTTCGAGCCTTTGACCTCGAGATCGTCAATCCACAAGGTAGTAGAGCGACATTTTGAGATACGGTCCAATGTTAGCCAATGACCAAGATCAGGTTCTTAGGGCATTTCCCCGTCACCATTCAGGAATCTATGTGCACCATCGGTTTTGAATCAGGCTTTCCCAACTCCCGTTGAAGCACTGGACGTTCACTTTTCGTCCCCTCTATATCTCAAACAGAACCTTCACCGCAAGAAGGCGGTAAGTAGGATTTCTTTGTTAATGGCTCTATACTCGAAGATATATAATAGCATTTCGATAGAGGGTGCGGAGTTCGCCTACTCTTGGATGGACCAGGGCATCTTAACTGCAGTTTTCTACCCGATAACTGATTTTTAACTCATTTATTTCAAAAGTTTGCAATTGCAGCGATAACTTAACATTCTAGAATACCATTGAGTATAGTTGTTGCAAACTTATTTACGTTATGAATAAATTGAAGCTCATTCCTGAATAGGTTTCAAATTTAACATAATCTATAGATATTATATTTATTCGCTGCATGAATAAATGTCGAGCTACTGTTTCTTATCTATCTCTTCTTGATGTAATGAAAAGTAATGTGAAATAGCTGTGTTTTATCACAAGTTATCAGAAATTACATAATCATTTCGAGTTGGAAATGATTGACAGGACAAGTCAATGAATGAGTCAAATACTAGTAATAATGAAGTAGAATCATAAATAGAAATTTGATTGTTCGAGATAAAGATATAGAGTAACTAGTTCACATGGAATGATAGCTGTATTAGGCAACTTAATCAATGAGTTAATGGACTATTTTCTTATTACTTCAATAAAGTTGATGACTACAAAATTAATGAATAGTTCATGTATAGTCAATAGCCAGTCATTATGAAAGTGATGTGTGGGCTAGCATAATAATGAATGATTGTTTGTTTAGTCAAAGTTATAGATAATCTGATAGACGTTAAATGAGGTATATATTCTCTTACCCTTATAATTATGGTGATTGTTGTCTGTTTTTGGTGTGGAAATATACTTACGTCCTAGTCAGTCTAGTTGTGTGTTCTTGATCTGAGTTGTGTTGAAGTTTTGTAGAATAGAAACTGGGAGGGAGTCTGGTGTAGATATTCGTGTAAGACAAGTTAATGAGACGGGGAAAGCCGAGCATTATAACAGATAGGTAAAGAATAAAGATGTAGGGTTTATTCTGTCATCTATTTCTATTGAAGTTTCGAAAAATTTTCTTAACAGAAAACAGTGGCTAAATGATATATTATTTTACCTATTTGTTTACACCTGTTTCTCTTCGTGGAGCATAGTCTACCGGCTAAAACTATTCAATCAAGTTTGTCCCAGGTTCTCTTTTCTAGATCTTTGCAATTGTTATTATTTCTATTGATGTTTTACTCCGATTGCGGGCACAATATATCCTCTGTATTGACTTTTTTCATTTTCCCTTAAGCATTCCAAGTTAGAACTTGTCCTTCTATGAATTTTGTTGATTTCTGCAATGACTTTTTTATCCTTCTCCTGTTTCGTTTCCTTACTTCTCCTCGGTAAGCAGCTAGTTTTTTCTGCCAGAATAGATTACTGTTGCTAGTGTTTAGCCTATGGATCTGAAGTATGTTATATTGATAGTTGTGTATGAAATGGTGGAGAAGATTCGTTGCATGATTTTAGTGGACTTTTGTTCTCTGAGCTCAGTTAAACAGAAGAAAAGGGAGAAAATGTGAGAATGAGCAACCTTGCCTTCTGCTAGCCTTTGCTTCGAATGCATCTGTGAACCCTTTAATCAATTCAGTCTCATAGAAGCTCCGTATGATGATGACGATGATGTCGGACACACCATGATATCGTAGAAGGTTTCACAAGGTTCCACTATCGACTCATTGAAATATATCTCATAGTCAAGGGAGTTGATGTAGCGATGCATACGATTCAGATAATTGTCTAACAATGATCCATAGTGTTGCGGTTTGGTCATCACATGGTTGATTCTTTCGAAAGCCGATGTATTTACCTGAAATACGGGCGTCCAGAGCATCTCTTATTTGGTTCAACAACACTGTAGAAAACGTGACCTGGTAGTGATAGTGGTGTATTGTTCTTGTTGTTTTCGCTCTTGTCGAGGTCTCCTTTCTTTAGTATCTTGATGAAGTATCCCTCATTCCAGTCTGTTGGTACTTGTTCTTCCTCTCAAATCTTTCCATACACTGGTGAAACATGTTTGGAGGTACTTCTTTATTTTTCTTTGACTTATTTGCTTCGGCTGGTATGTTGTTCGGCCCTTCTGATTTGCCATTTTTGGTTTGTCCGATGATCACATCAATTAAACGATTGTTGGCGTGTCAACATTTATAGAAAAATTTGTATGCACTGCCTTGATATGCAGTATGTTCAGCGTGACTGGTTTATTCAAGAGCTCTTTTAGATGTTGTATTAACCTGTTCCACTGCTCTTGAATAACAGTGATTGATATTCCTTGTTTGTTCTTGACTGATCACTGAGCTCCACTAAATTTTCCTTCCAGCATTTTCTGTTTATTTCACAGTTTTTAGTTTCTTTCTCTTACCAGGCATTACAAATATTTCCGGTTGTTGGCCCTAGAGCTCCTCTTCACAACCTTGTTCGTTCCTGTGTATTCGACCTGTGCCTTACTCTTCTCTGTTCCTGATCGCCTGTTGTTGCTTACTGTCTCGGATTCTTTGGTGGGCATTTCTCTACGATCAACTGCAGCCTCCCATAAAACTGATGTTTATAGTCTCCAATGCTTTTGTTAGGTGCATGAGATTCACATACCATTAGCGCTTTTCGCGCATCTTTACAGAGGATCCGCTGGACTACTCGCGTTTATAGATATCTTTATGACTAGAATACAATAGAATATTTCCCGAAGTTAATCTTGTCTGTCCAGCTTTGCTCCAATGTGTTTTATTTGTTCCAAGCACCATCTGGTTATATGTTCTGTTTTCCGCAGCTGCTTGAATGGCCCTCGCAGCCTTTGACACTGTACAGACATTCCATGTACCTATGTTGGTTGCTGGTCTGGTTTTTTAGAATAGTCGTTGGTTTCGTGATTTTTGAGAAATCTCGTTTTTCAACGTGTGGCGTCATTACTCTTTTGAATGAAGACGCTTGAACTGTGTGGGCAGAGTTTGAATAGCTTAAGTGGTTTTTTCTGATCATAGTCTTTTTGGCGAAGTTGTTATCTTCGTACTTCATACTCATTCCTCTTTCTTTATCCGTGCTTAGGAATGGCAGTAACTTTTAAAAGGTCGCATCAGTATTATTATCTTAGGTAAGTTCTATAGAGAACCATTTTTGTTGAAATAATTTTCGACAATGATGAATTTTTTGGGTAATTTCTAAGATGAAATGGTTGTTTATTATCTAGAAGAAACACACTTTTCATGTACCAGCTTCAGCGGTTATAAAAAGCACCAAAATACTAAATAGGGGTGGCGGAAAGCTGTTGTTTTCCTGTTTTTGACAATTTATACTCATGAATTTTTCAGTTTACGGTCAAGATATACTACCGTTAAATTGAATAAATATTTTTTAAGACTTGATGTTATCTGAAAATAATTTTCGTTATTATTCTTCATATGCTCCCATTCTTTATATCTCTATTTATACTAGTTAGTCGAAATCCATTATATACATGCCATTTAATATCATTTGTTATCAATGTATTACAACCATATCACAATATTGGACAACTAGGTCTCCTTATATCTAACCTAACAATATGGAGTCATCTTTAAAAACGTGAGTTTTCCATACAAGCTGAAATTCACAAATTCAATGTTCATTAAGTGTGGCGCAGCCAGTTATTTATTAGATTACGTAGTAGATGTATTTTAGAGGTTTCCGTGTAATTTAGACTGAAAACAATCTCATTTATAACCCCAAATTTTACCATATTTATGTCTTTTATCTCTGATGTGTGGATTAAACTCACCAAAATATAGATTTTCTAAGCAATTTACTCAACTGCTGAACACAGCCTTGGCGTGTCCATAGTCATAATGAGTAGACTATATCAGCAAGAAAACTGTATCTGTCAACAAATACTATTCTACATAGCTTCGAATAATAATTTATTCTTATTGAGTAGACAACATATGTGTAACTAAGATTACTTCTAAGAAATATTATAATTTTGATAAAATTCCAGAGTTGTCACCTCATCCTTCAAAGTCTTACAGTGAATCGTAACTCGAAAGGAATGTAATGTAAAACGTTGTAATGGAAAAATTGCATCACCATTTGAGAGAAGCTTTTACTCAACCATATTTGATAAAAGGAGAATATGATATCGAAAATGTTCTATTTTCAATAAAGAATAATCAACAAGTGTTGCTGATAATCCTATGCCTCACTGAGAATTTTATGAGGAATTTCAAAGTATGTATGGGTATTGAAATTGTCCAAATCAAAGTTCGGTTAAAATATCAAATGTAGTAACGAAACAAAGCTTGACATCACACCTATCTCACCACCTTGTTATAGCCGAAAACAGACTATAGTGAAACGGATAGAACTTTTAGTCAGAGAAGTTGAACAAGTATATGGACTAAATGTTTCATGTGATGTTACTTGAAGTATTTAAAACCTTGAATCATTGTACTCAGGAAAAGTTTTTAAAAAACTATTGGGCTGAGTGTTATGTGTTTCAGCTGTTATTCAAATGTAGCAAAATTGGCACCCAATTGCCCTGGTATGGCCGAGAGTGAGGTGGGCCTGCCCTCCCTCTCGAAATGCTCTCACACGGCCACGCGTATATAGCCTCTGCCACGGAAGTCCTACTCACTGCCTTCTCTTGGCGGGAGTGTTGTCTACGAAAATGAGAGGACGAAAAGCGAATGTCCGGCGCTTTAACCGGATCTCAAATCAATGGTGCCCGTGGGCTCCAGTGTCCTGAGGGAACAAATGGCGTATGAACCAATCGTTGGTCACCGGCTTCCATGGTAGTGCATCTCCTCACTATGCTCCACTGCCTTAAGGGTCAGACCTTTATGTCAAAGGCTCGGGGTGTGGGCCCCAAGAAAACCACCTGCTTCGGTTTGGACACTCGGGCAATATAACAGCCAACACACAAATAAAATTTTATGTGGCGCATACATATTTAGTGCTCTCTTATACCAATATTTATGTGTTCAAATAAATAAATAAAATAAGTAACAAAATGGTCAGTATTGAAAGTAAGGCTTTTGCGACTCGTTACATAAAAATGATATGCCGAACTTTTTCCGAATCCAACTAAATTATTCTGGAAGAAACGAATAAATTAGTATCCCTTAACGATCCAGCATTTGTTTACTATATAACCAAAAGCTGAATATATGCAAAACACTGCATCCAGTTGACTCATCCTCTTTTGCTATATCGGTCCACCTAGAAGTCTGATGTCAAAAGTTACAGTTGAATGGGTAAACTGTTTCCCACGATCGACGTGTCAGAGCTATATGATTAAAGATAGTATTGGAAGACAATGTTCAAGGTGTACGAAACGCGGATTTGAATCCCTCAGATACATCCTATTGATGAGCCCCAATTGACAATAGACCTAATTAAAATAGGCCCCCAAATGCCCTGGTACGGCCGAGAGTAGGAAGAGTCCGCTCTCCCTCTCAAAATGCTCTCACATGGCCACGCGTATATAGCCCCTGCCACGGAAGTCCTACTCACTGCCTTCTCGTGGCGGGGGTGTTGTTTACGAAAATGAGAGGACGAAAAGCGAATGTCCAGCGCTTTAACCGGATCCAAAACCAATGGTGCACATGGGCTCCAGTATCCTGAAGGAACAAATGGCGTATGAACCAATCGTTGGTCACCGGCTTCCATGGGACTGCACCTCCTCACGGTGCTCCACTGCCTTGTGGATCAGACGTTCAGGTCAAAGGCTCGGGGTGTGGCCCCTTAAGAAAACCACCTGCCTCGGTTTGGGCACCCGGGCAGTATCACAGCCCTCACACAAATCAATTGAGATTTGTGTGGCGCATATGTATTTGGTGCCTCCTTGTACCAATACTTATGTGTTAAAATAATAAATAAATAAATAAATAGTTAAAATAGGGATTCCCTCTGACGACCAACTAACATCTGAATCTGTATAATCTTCAGACAGATTTGCCATTCTCTGTTTTCACCACCTTCTCCCTCTTTGTTTACTATCTTTTTCTTGTACAGAAACTCGAATGATGTTTATTTCGTCGTGTTGCTTGTTGACTGCATTGATTCTTAGTCCATTATTTCATTATATCTGGTTGCAACCGGGTACTGGAAATGCGAATTTCTATTTCGCTGCATCGTTAGTGCATGCATTTGGACAGGTAAGTGAATAACCAGTTGGATCATTTCAAACTTAACTGACCAGCCAATATTGACCAATATCATGTTTTTCTAGCGGTTTAGTGCTAGTTGACTGGTAACTGTATTGCAACTGTATCGGCAAAATTCAGTCGGCACTAATGAACCACACAAATTTGACATTGAGCACTATTGAGTAATTGATCATTTGTAAATATCTCAATGTTAGGGGAAGTTAATTGGGTTCTCAGTGGCTCAGTAGTAACCTGTCACAAGGACCAGCAGTTTTCTCAAGACTACAAATAAGCTCTTCTGATGAGGATCAACTAGCATGTTACATACTTTCAGGCTTTCCTCCTGACTCCCTAAGACCTAATATCCAGGCATTAATTCTGTAGAAAACAGAAAAGTGAAAATGATATAAATCTAACATTAACACAATCGGTTCATACTTTATAGCGATGAAGAATTAACAGAAAGATGGCATGAAAATCTACCAAGAAATGTTAACGCATAATCTGACATGTCGAATGCACACATATTAATTCGAAGAACTTGGCTAGGTTAGATGTTACAGTCGAGTTTTAACTTATCAGAAATTTACCTACTCAACTGATCTATGGAATCAATAGATTAAGGCTAGTTTTAGAAACTTAGATGCGCTTATTGTCCTGTTTCTGACTCGTCAATTTCGTAAACTTAACTGGATTGTAGTATTAATGTTAATATTGAGATTCAAACACAATAACTGAATAAAATTCAATGGAGAATACTTATCACTGGATAAATGAAACATTTACTAATTATGATATAAATATCATATTTATTAAATATGTTATTAACTCAATAGATTCAGTAGCTTAATGGATATACACGTTGGACATTTGAACTGAAAGATAATGGGTTCGAGTCCCAATGTAGTTATAATTACTGAAATGTATAAACATATTTCCCAAGCAAAATAAAATGCACATTTTACATTCTACTGCTCACCATAACTTATATTGTAAATAACTTTTAGGTTTTTCCCGCCATTTTCTTTTTTGTTCAAACATTTCAGGTTGTCCTTATTACGGATTTATTAAATGCCTATGGAAAATGCGAATTTTTTTTACGTTATGGTTCTAACCTTCGATTGAGTACTGGTGAAAAGTTAAAATTAATTCAAGAATAAGAAAAAAAATTTTCTTTTTAAAAAAAGAAACTAAAAGTACCACAAGAAGAAAACAATTAAGGAATATGAAGGGGGGGAAAGGAGGTTTTCCCCCTCCCCCATAAACTAATATTTCTCTCACAAGTTTCACTTAATTCTCATTTATTTCATGGCAATTTTATTGAAAATAATCATATTTTGTCTTTATGGTTGTTATGTATGTATGATGTAGCGTGTGTAATAAGTTACATCATTAAACTATGTAAATGTGCCTGTAATACAATTTTTATGTGATGATGATTTTAACAATATATGTATTGGGAAAAAAAATCATCTCAATGTTTTGTATTCTTGTCAATGGTAATAATAGTAGTGTATGAATGTGTGTTTGTGTTTGTGTGTGTGTGTAAGATTTATTATTTCGTTGAATATTTTGTCAATGTTCATTGATAGGTATTTGTTTATTTATTTATATTTAAACACATTAATAGTGGTACAAGGGGGCATCAAATGTATATGTGTCACACTTTGTCATTCTGTTTTTGTGAGGGATGGGATACTACCCGGGTTCCCAAACCGATAGAGATGGTTTTCTTAGGGGGCTACTACTGCTCGAGCCTATGATCTAGAGGAATAATCCACAAGGCAGTGGAGAAACGTTAGAAGATACAGTCCCATGGTATCCGGTGACTAACGATTGGTTCCCTCAAGATCCTGGATCTCATGTGCACCATTGGCTTGGAATCAGAGTCTTCCAACACCCATAGATGGGTTCTCTATATCTAGCAACTCGGTGAATATCTTAGAAACATCCAGCTTTGAGAAGGCAAGGTGTAGTAATTCCCTGACAGTGATTGTTTACGTATGGTCACGTTAAAGCATTTCGAAAAGGAGATCTAACTCCCTACTCTTGGGCATACCAAGGCATTTTGGGTCTTGATAAGTTTATGGTATTTTCTTAGCATGTATGTGTTTATGTGTTCGACGCAAGACTTTCTTCGACAAGGTTCGATTACTAAGGTCATATATTTACACTGTTGATTTGTTCTGTACTATAATGATACAACAGCTGTCCAGTGTCCACTAGTTTTCAATATTACTACAACTGAGATGAGTTTTTGGATGTATGCAACCCACATATCGGATTTTATTACACAATAAAGTTATCGCATATATTACTCGGTTTGTCTAATCTGGAGAATAAGTGTAACGGTGTTTCAAACTACAATCTATTTATTAATTAGAGGGTATATATATATTTATGTCGGAAATCGTTCGAATTATTTCACCAGTTTTAAAGTAAGTCTTCTTGAAATTGTAACAAAATGTCTTGATTCGTGAAGTTGTGTTAATAATTCTACTAGATACAAGTTGTTGTACTTGTCTTTAAGGTACATTTTACGTGTGTGATAGTGGTACTATTCGGTTGCTCAAACCGGATGTTAATAGAAGTGTAGTTTGTTTATGTCATTTAGTGACTAAAAGTCTAGACTTATAATCACTGAGTTACTGCTTCATCTGAGCTTAGTCTATAGTGAATGAACACAGATGGGGAAGACCAATTTATTGTTCAGTGCATAATCACGCAATGGTTTATTATAATGTGAAAGTCATACATCATTTACACATTTATGAATTGTCTCTTACAAGCTTCATTTTTCCTTTATTCTTGTTGTTATCTTGGTTGCTTTCAGTTTTCTTCTCTTTTTATTTCAATCTACTCAATCTTCTGCTGCCATGCATTTCAATTCTGATAAGTGTTACATACTACTTATATCTATCGACATAAGTAGCATACACCACAAGTCCATTTTGAGGTGATTACTGAAATCATATTAACTAAATTTCTTTTGATTTGTTCATCAGTTCAAATGATCATGTAGATTAACTGACTGGTAATACACGTTAAGTATATTTTTTCAGTATTTGTTTCCAAGTATAAAAGGAAATAATGATCATCTACATTATTGAAAGTTCTGTCTTTGTTTTCATAAGTGTATTAAGATTAATTATTCATTTTAATCTATCTCTTCACTAATCAGTTAGTGCGCTTAATTGAATGGTCAGATATAATATTTTTTTAGTTTGCAATAACAGTCTACTTATATTACTGATTAATTTTAACCAAAGTTAATTGTACAGCCGTCTCTTTCTAAATAGTTCATTTGGATGACCATGTAAAGAATTTTCAGGCTTCAACACTCTCTACAAATACTTTCATGTTCCAATTAAATTTAATTGGTTCGACATGAATACAATACTTGACTGCATAAAAATGTTATTAAACAAATAAGGGATATATGAAAAGTTATAGTGTTAACTGCTTACTCATTTAAATATTATTAACTTCAAGCCATAGATTGTCTGTGAATTAATGGACGAGTGTACTGTGCGACAGTTCGTTCTGTTTTACTTTACGCCTGCAACACGTGACCATTAAGAGTACATGATACTAGTAAGCTACTGACATTTGACCACTAGTGTCTTAAAAATATTGCTTGCATCTGCTGGGATCATTGGGTAAGTAATAGTGAGCTTAGACATAGGGTATTAGGGAATGATGGTAACTCAGTCGATATGGTTGTAAATCTTCATCGACTGTGATGGTTGGGCCACGTGTTGCGTATGTCCAACCACCGATTAACATGACGCGCAATACTGACCAGTGTTGGAGACTGTTTGAAGAAGGTTAGGGGCGGCCAAACCAAAACATGGCACCAGTCTGTAAATTCACTAACTTACGGTCTGAGCCATGTTGGCAGATACAGACACTTGGTTGGGGTCCTTGCAACTATCGTAATCAATGGTTGAAGACTCTTGGTGACATGGCTCAGAATCGATCACCATAGCGTTGGTGTATACACCCCTTGTCTTCCCTTAAACTACCAGATAAAAATTATTTCACATCGTTCTTTCTGCGAACTGATTCTTTCTCTCTGTACTATATCCTTACGTAAAATCTTTTCTTTATATATTACGCCATTGAGTTAAATGCCTCTACGAATCCGGTGTTCATCTTTCTGTTCTAATTAGGTGTGGCAACTTGGACCGATGCATATATGTGCCTGGTCGTACGTTGTTATTTATTATTTATTTATTTATTTGAACACATAAATATTGGTACAGAGGGGCACCAAATATATATGCGCCACACAAAACAATGATAATTTGAAGAGAAGGAGAAAAGAGAAAAAAAAAAGTAATGAACGTGGGGAATTATAAAAAAAAAAGGGAGAGAGAGAACAATGGTGGGGGAAACGGAAAGGTACAAGCAGAAGGGATCTTTCAGTTAAGGAAGATATAAACACTTTTTATGAAGAAAGTAAGAGGTTACAGCACGATCGCCACTGGCTTCTATTCTTAGCCATATCTGATAACGTCTCTAGCCACTGCGTTACACCGTCTCTCGGACCCCAACCAGGGAGTCGTGAAGGACCAACAGAAGCTAGCCCTTTGCAGCTTTCTTTCATACCACGACACCATGTCATATAATGACCACCTCTCCGCTTTTTCCAACCAGTCCCAGAGTCGGCAAATAATGCACGACGTGGAATTCTCTGGGACGACATTCGTAGAACATGTCCAAGCCACCGAAGTCGGTGTTTCAAGATGGTGACACCAATTTCATTATCGTCTCTGTGACCGAACACTCGATGCCGAACCTCTGCATTACTGACATGGTGTTGCCACTGGATGCCAGCAATCCTTCGGAGACAACGATGATCGAACACAGAGAGTCGTCTAACATCCTCAGCTCGGAGAGGCCAGGTTTCACAAGCATAGAGCAAAACTGCTCTCACCGTCGCGTCGTAGATCCGACCTTTTACAGCCAGACTAACATCACGAAGGCGCCAAAGATGGCCCAGATTGGCATAAGCCGCTCTGGCTTTCACTATACGAGCATTGATCTCATCACTCACACCACCACCAGCACTTATGCAGCTACCTAGATACACGAACTTCTCGACTACTTCAATCTGCTCACCATCCAGAGTGAGTACAGGATTAGAATCCTGCCAGTCTTGTAGAAGTACTTTGCACTTCGAAGGTGCAAAGCACATACCATACCTACGGACATTGATTGCCAACTGATTAAGTGCGGATTGCATAGCTTGGGCATTCTCGCACAGTAAGACAATATCATCCGCATACTCAAGGTCGAGAAGTCTTTCTCCAGGCAACAGATCCACACCACCATTACTTACATCCATCAGAGCTGTTTCCAGAATGTCATCGATGGCAAAGTTGAAGAGGAATGGTGAGATTGGGCAACCCTGCCTAACTCCACTGCTTGAATGGAATAGTGGAGAAAGGTGGTTGTATGCCCTCACTCTGCCTGAGGTGTTTGTGTATTGGGCTTTTAGGATGTTAATAAACTTCTCAGGCACACCCTTCTTCAATAGACAATCCCAGAGAACAGTTCTGTCCAACGAATCGAAGGCAGCCCTGATATCAAGAAACACAACGATTGTTGGCCTTTGATAATTATGGCGGTGTTCTAACACTTGGCGGAGGGTGAAGATATGATCAATACATCCTCGACCAGAACGAAACCCAGCCTGCTCCTCGCGAGTCAATCCTTCTCGGGTCCTGAACAACCTACGAAGTATGACGGAAGCCAATAGCTTGGACGCAATCGGAAGTAGACTTATCCCCCGATAGTTGTTACAGGAACAACGTGAACCCTTTTTAAAGATAGGGACAACTATCGACTCATTCCATGACGTTGGTACACTCTCTAGTTCCCAGATCTTTGTAAACAACGTCGTCAGTCCCTTAGTCAAAAAGTCACCACCATCTTTAAAAAGAGCCGGAGGTAAGTCGTCTGGGCCCGGTGATTTGTAACGTCTCAAGAGTTGGAGTTCCTTGCGGACTTCCGCCTCATTTGGTGGATCAGTCGTCACCGGCCATGGAGGGCAGGACAGTCTGACCGATGTTGCCGGAGCAGCAGGCCAGTTGAACTGCCCTTCAAAGAATGCTGACCATCGTCCAAGACGTCGATAGATGTTAGTGATTGGCGT